CTACAGTTTCCTGTCTTCACAATGTACCGTTTGTGTCGAGGAAGAGTTCATAGTTTCATAGTTGTCGATTTTCGAAAGAAATCAGTAGGTACATGTATATTATTTCGTATATTTTTAATTTTATTGATTTTATAGAAAGTACTGTTCATTAAAATGTTGTATCCTATGTTATAGGGCTTGTTTCTCTCTACAATTTCCTGTTTCACAATGTACCGTTTGTGTCCGGGAAGGGTTCATAGTTTCATAGTTGTTGATTTTCGAAAGAAATCAGTAGGTACATGTATATTATTTCGTATATTTTTAATTTTATTGATTTTATAGAAAGTACTGTTCGTTAAAATGTTGTATCCTATGTTATAGGGCTTGTTTCTCTCTACAATTTCCTGTTTCACAATGTACCGTTTGTGTCCGGGAAGGGTTCATAGTTTCATAGTTGTTGATTTTCGAAAGAAATCAGTAGGTACATGTATATTATTTCGTATATTTTTCATTTTATTGATTTTATGGAAAGCACTGTTCATTTAAAATGTTGTATCCTATGTTATAGGGCTTGTTTCCTTCTCTACAATTTCCTGTTTCACAATGTACCGTTTGTGTCCGAGGAAGGGTTCATAGTTTCATAGTTGTCGATTTTCGAAAAGAAATCAGTAGGTACATGTATATTATTTCGTATATTTTTCATTTTATTGATTTTATGGAAAGCACTGTTCATTAAAATGTTGTATCCTATGTTATAGGGCTTGTTTCTCTCTACAATTTCCTGTTTCACAATGTACCGTTTGTGTCCGGGAAGGGTTCATAGTTTCATAGTTGTTGATTTTCGAAAGAAATCAGTAGGTACATGTATATTATTTCGTATATTTTTCATTTTATTGATTTTATGGAAAGCACTGTTCATTAAAATGTTGTATCCTATGTTATAGGGCTTGTTTCTCTCTACAATTTCCTGTTTCACAATGTACCGTTTGTGTCCGGGAAGGGTTCATAGTTTCATAGTTGTCGATTTTCGAAAGAAATCAGTAGGTACATGTATATTATTTCGTATATTTTTAATTTTATTGATTTTATAGAAAGTACTGTTCATTAAAATGTTGTATCCTATATGTTATAGGGCTTGTTTCTCTCTACAATTTCCTGTTTCACAATGTACAGTTTTTTGTCCGGGAAGGGTTCATAGTTTCATAGTTGTTGATTTTCGAAAGAAATCAGTAGGTACATGTATATTATTTCGTATATTTTTCATTTTATTGATTTTATGGAAAGCACTGTTCATTAAAATGTTGTATCCTATGTTATAGGGCTTGTTTCTCTCTACAATTTCCTGTTTCACAATGTACCGTTTGTGTCCGGGAAGGGTTCATAGTTTCATAGTTGTCGATTTTCGAAAGAAATCAGTAGGTACATGTATATTATTTCGTATATTTTTAATTTTATTGATTTTATAGAAAGTACTGTTCATTAAAATGTTGTATCCTATGTTATAGGGCTTGTTTCTCTCTACAATTTCCTGTTTCACAATGTACCGTTTGTGTCGGGAAGGGTTCATAGTTTCATAGTTGTTGATTTTCGAAAGAAATCAGTAGGTACATGTATATTATTTCGTATATTTTTCATTTTATTGATTTTATGGAAAGTAACTGTTCATTAAAATGTTGTATCCTATGTTATAGGGCTTGTTTCTCTCTACAATTTCCTGTTTCACAATGTACCGTTTGTGTCCGGGAAGGGTTCATAGTTTCATAGTTGTCGATTTTCGAAAGAAATCAGTAGGTACATGTATATTATTTCGTATATTTTTAATTTTATTGATTTTATAGAAAGTACTGTTCATTAAAATGTTGTATCCTATGTTATAGGGCTTGTTTGTCTCTACAGTTTCCTGTCTTACAATGTACAGTTTTTGTCGAGGAAGAGTTCATAGTTTCAGAGTTGTCGATTTTCAAAAGAAATCAGTACATGTATATTATTTCGTATATTTTTCATTTTATTGATTTCATGGAAAGCACTTTTCATTAAAATGTTGTATCCTATATTATAGGGCTTGTTTCTCTCTACAGTTTCCTGTCTCACAATATACCGTTTGTGTCCGGGAAGGATTCATAGTTTCATAGTTGTCGATTTTCGAAAGAAATCAGTAGGTACATGTATATTATTTCGTATATTTTTAATTTTATTGATTTTATAGAAAGTACTGTTCGTTAAAATGTTGTATCCTATGTTATAGGGCTTGTTTCTCTCTACAATTTCCTGTTTCACAATGTACCGTTTGTGTCCGGGAAGGGTTCATAGTTTCATATTTGTCGATTTTCGAAAGAAATCAGTAGGTACATGTATATTATTTCGTATATTTTTAATTTTATTGATTTTATAGAAAGTACTGTTCATTAAAATGTTGTATCCTATGTTATAGGGCTTGTTTCTCTCTACAATTTCCTGTTTCACAATGTACCGTTTGTGTCCGGGAAGGGTTCATAGTTTCATAGTTGTTGATTTTCGAAAGAAATCAGTAGGTACATGTATATTATTTCGTATATTTTTCATTTTATTGATTTTATGGAAAGCACTGTTCATTAAAATGTTGTATCCTATGTTATAGGGTTGTTTCTCTCTACAATTTCCTGTTTCACAATGTACCGTTTGTGTCCGGGAAGGGTTCATAGTTTCATAGTTGTCGATTTTCGAAAGAAATCAGTAGGTACATGTATATTATTTCGTATATTTTAATTTTATTGATTTTATAGAAAGTACTGTTCATTAAAATGTTGTATCCTATGTTATAGGGCTTGTTTCTCTCTACAATTTCCTGTTTCACAATGTACCGTTTGTGTCCGGGAAGGGTTCATAGTTTCATAGTTGTTGATTTTCGAAAGAAATCAGTAGGTACATGTATATTATTTCGTATTTTTTTCATTTTATATTTTATGGAAAGCACTGTTCATTAAAAATGTTGTATCCTATGTTATAGAAGGCTTGTTTCTCTCACAATTTCCTGTTTCACAATGTACCGTTTGTGTCCGGGAAGGGTTCATAGTTTCATAGTTGTCGATTTTCGAAAGAAATCAGTAGGTACATGTATATTATTTCGTATATTTTTAATTTTATTGATTTTATAGAAAGTACTGTTCATTAAAATGTTGTATCCTATGTTATAGGGCTTGTTTCTCTCTACAATTTCCTGTTTCACAATGTACCGTTTGTGTCCGGGAAGGGTTCATAGTTTCATAGTTGTTGATTTTCGAAAGAAATCAGTAGGTACATGTATATTATTTCGTATATTTTTCATTTTATTGATTTTATGGAAAGCACTGTTCATTAAAATGTTGTATCCTATGTTATAGGGCTTTTGTTTCTCTCTACAATTTCCTGTTTCACAATGTACCGTTTGTGTCCGGGAAGGGTTCATAGTTTTCATAGTTGTCGATTTAAGAAATCAGTAGGTACATGTATATTATTTCGTATATTTTTAATTTTGCATTGATTTTATAGAAAGTACTGTTCATTAAAATGTTGTATCCTATGTTATAGGGCTTGTTTCTCTCTACAGTTTCCTGTTTCACAATGTACCGTTTGTGTCCGGGAAGGGTTCATAGTTTCATAGTTGTTTGATTTTCAGAAAAGAAATCAGTAGGTACATGTATATTATTTCGTATATTTTTAATTTTATTGATTTTATAGAAAGTACTGTTCGTTAAAATGTTGTATCCTATGTTATAGGGCTTGTTTCTCTCTACAATTTCCTGTTTCACAATGTACCGTTTGTGTCCGGGAAGGGTTCATAGTTTCATAGTTGTCGATTTTCGAAAGAAATCAGTAGGTACATGTATATTATTTCGTATATTTTTAATTTTATTGATTTTATAGAAAGTACTGTTCATTAAAATGTTGTATCAATATGTTATAGGGCTTGTTTCTCTCTACAATTTCCTGTTTCACAATGTACCGTTTGTGTCCGGGAAGGGTTCATAGTTTCATAGTTGTTGATTTTCGAAAGAAATCAGTAGGTACATGTATATTATTTCGTATATTTTTCATTTTATTGATTTTATGGAAAGCACTGTTCATTAAAATGTTGTATCCTATGTTATAGGGCTTGTAATAGTTTTATACAGATACGGACGAAAAGTTATTACTTTTCAAAACAGTTAAAAATATGTTGGTTTGGTTTGGAATTCGAAAAAAAAATTCGAAATAAAAATGAAACTTCTACACTCTGTATCTCCGAAACTAAGCATTTTAGGACATACATTTAGACGAACTTTTTTTCTTATTTTTCCTATCCTTTTTTTTTCCTATCTGCAGAATAAGCTGCCGAAGTACAGTACGGACCACCCTGTCTAACCTACAGAAAAAAAAGGTTAAATGACACGTTATCATATTCTTAAAAAATAGCTTTATAACAATTCGGAAAAATAATATATTCCATAGATTATTGTATTGGTTTTATTGAAGTAGTAGGACAAATGAACCAAAGCAAGTAGAATTAACAATATAACCTTTCATAATCAAACAGTCATATCGTGGTTATGTAGCTATTATACTCCCCTGCATTGTTTGAACTTCCCCATATTAAAATGTGCAGTTAGAGATCTAATCGGTGTGGCCTTGGTAAATGTGAATGAATAGGAAGACCACCATTTACTAAATTAACATGTCTAGCCTGTCTTGTGCAGGGGCTGCGACACAAGCTGGGTATTGTCTACACGAACACAAATAAATTATAGAGGAAGCACGTTGAAAAAGTCTGTTTCTATACAAAAGAAACCAGAAACTAATGCATTAAAGTAGAATAGACCAGAAAAATCTGCGATTTCTAAATTAACTGTAAGGGAAAACGTAAAAAAGAATTCAAAGACCAAAATTTATTGGTTATGTAAAATTTTACGAGTTTTTAAATTATTCTATAAATTATTATTATTTATTATATACCCCTCGTAATTGTTTAAAAAATATACCTGAATATTTAGTTGTCATAGAAACATTAATTTGTCAAAATATTAAAACTTCAAAAAGAGCTAATTCAAAATTAACAGTAATTGTCAATTTTTTTTGTTAGTGTCTGTGTTTATTTTTATTTATATACCGTTTATTCGTTTATGAGTGGTGTTTGTCTTTAAATCTATTAGATGGTCATCAAATTACCAAGGTAAGAAGTTTGTTTTAGTGAGACACAAAATGAGAATCATAAAAAGCAAAATTATGCAATTTATTTTTTTACGTAGCAAATATTGTGTTTATTGAAGGTTTTTTTGGGTGTTCATATCTTCATTATTTTTTTGGTATTATTTATGGGTGTATATTTGGTGCCATGTCACGAATATTTAGAAGCAAATAAATTTTAACTAATCATCTTTTTAATTGTTGAAAAAGAGAATATTTTTTTTTATTTTGATATAAATCTATAGGGAACAATCGTGTATCCCACAGGATAGTTATAATGAATTAAAATGACCTTTATGAAGGCAGATAACACGTACAAAACTCTATGTCATTGTATACCGAATGGCACACGCATATTTTTTAATTAGTTAGAATGGTTTACCAGAAAAAAAGACGAATATAGTACTTTAAAATCGATAGTTTTATAATCTGTAGCGTGGGATCATCTAGCAAACTTTATACAGGGTATCAAAAAAATGCCAAAATAGTTTTTTCGAGATAGATGAGAAAAACACAGTAGAACTGAAACTAATAGTTTTTTTAAAAATAGACGCTTTCACTTGGCACTTGTAATTTTTGTTAGGACATGCAGCATGGTATTTATTACGTTTCTAATGCAAACAATTTAATGCAAAAATTTAAAAAAATCGTAACTTCAAAATTACAGTAGATAGCGAAACGCCGGTTTTCAATTTAAGATTAGGAATAATATTTGCAACAAAATTTAAAATAACATCAAAATCAGTCAAAGTCGCAGTTTTTGGGGTAATTGAAACTAAAAGAACTGCCTACCAACTTTTTATTAACATATTTTAGTATGGGCGGTTATACGTGCCTCCCGGCGCCAATTTTTTTTCGATCATACGGTATATTGTACTTTAAAATACACGAAAATTTTAAGGTGTCCTTTTTTCGTGTCTAATAAAAAAACATATACAAATAAAAATAGTTTTCATATTTTTTTTGTGTAGAAAATTAAAATTACTATGAACTTCCAAACACACAGATATGTGGGTAACGTAGGATGTGACAACATCGCAGGGCCTCGTTAACAGAAAGATAATACAACCTCAAGAAATATTCGGAGAAAACAAATACATATCCTGAAAGAATTACCAAGATAAATATTGAATTTTCAACTCTTTTTTGTACTTTACTTATTTAATTACATCTTGTATATTTCTCAGACTTCTGGCAATGCCCCGGATCCGTTCCTGGACCCAATCTTTGTTTACTACTCTCGTTTTAGTGCTGCCTCAGTGGTTTCTTCCCTGTTTTTTCCCAGAAATACGATTAAAAGTTTATCCTGTCGTAAAGTTTTAACGCATTGGCAAGGAAATTTAAATCGAAGGGTATTGAAAAAAGCGGTAAAATGGAACGCAATTTCCCATTCACCGTATTAACGAAGGGAAAGGACCGAGAAAAGATTGTTATACAACTGCCAAGTTCACACTAGCTTTGTCTTTTTTTTCTTAAGAAAGAATTTACTTTTTTTTCTCGATATTATGAGGGAGTTAATCACTGATGCGACCTTACAGATCTATTGTGTCCGCATTTCTTAAATTATAACTTATCCTACAGTCTCAGGGCTTTAACAAATACCAGTATCTAAGACGGTTTTGCAGAGGCTATTTTTCTATCTCCGAAATCAGTCGTACCAAAATTTATGACATGAATGGTTGTCGACTTTCTGACCGACCCTGTATACTTAAATTTATTACCCGCTAATAGGTATTTAAAAACCCTATACTTTTAGATATTTAAAAACCTTATACTAAAAACCCTATACTTTTTACGGTACCTCTTATATTTTACTTAATAATCGACCTTTCCCATACATATCAGTGACCCTGTATACAGGATTGTTCACCACATACGACACGGAGTATTGTAGCTAAACGATGAGATTTTTACAAATTGTAAGTTTTGGGTTCGATGAAGGACTATTAGAGGTACAATTTAAAAATATTTTTACAAGATACAGAGTGTCCCAAATAAGTAAAAAATATCAAAGTTGTATTTTTTTTAAATGGAACACCCTGTATATTATTACATTTTTAGTTTCTACGATTAAAATAAAGGTAAATTTGATTAAGGTTTATTATACTTAAACCTTACCGTTTTTGAAATATTTTCAATTTTGTGAAATTGCAGTAAAAATTTTAAGGCTTCATTTCTCCAAGGGTATCAAAGTTTTTAATACTAAATATTTACTGAAGTGTATTTACTGATCAGTTATTGTGTTACAATAATAAAAATAATACTACCTTATACAGAGTGTCTAAAAATTTATTTTAAATAATTATTAGCTTCAAACGGCAATAACTTGTTTAATTTAAATGGAACACCCTCTATATTTTACGAGAATCAGATGCACAATTTAATTGTCTATCAAATTATATTATACCATTTTTACCTATCTTTAAGTTTCCGTAGAAAATGCATTTTCTTGTAATTTAGAACTTATTTATCAATATACCCATGGACTATTGACATTTTAGATTATTTTTAAAGATGTACCAAATTTTTAAAGAGCACAGATACTAATATTGTCGATATAATTCGTTTATTTCATTAAAAAATAAAAAAAACTGTTTAAATATTTGTTAAAGAGGACCAATTAATATGATTCCAGTATTCAAACTACATTAACTGACTGTTTGCGTTGATTAATAATAATTGCTCCAAATACTAAAAAACTGAATTTTGTATGGGCATTAGACAGTGTGATAAAAGTAACACCTTAAAAATGATATTTCATTTTTTAATAAATGCTTATTTATAACAACAGAGACTTTAATTTGATAACTTATTATTATATTGATTTCTGACTCAAATCCACATTTATTTATAATAATTTATTAACGAACACATTTAAGTATGTAATTAATTAGTATATGGGCGGAAATAATGGTGTTATATTTAATTAATGGTATATACTTGTATAAAGATTTAAATAGTTTTCTTTTTGCATACAGATGGGCTAGTAATATTATCGTTTTGTTAAAATCGATAATATTACTAGCCTGTACATTTTGTACATTTGTTGCTTTAAAAACAATCTAAAATATCAATATTCCATGGGTATATTGATAAATGAGGTCTAAATTATAAGAAAATGCATTTTCTACAAAACCTTGAAGGGATAGGTAAAAAATGGTATAACACAATTTCATAGACAATTAAATTGTGCATCTGATTCTCCTAAAATATACAGGGCGTTCCATTTAAATTAAAGAAGTTATTGCCGTTTGAAGCTAATAATTATTTAAAATAAATTTTTAGACACTCTGTATAAGGTAGTATTATTTTTATTATTGCAACACAATAACTGATCAATAAATAAACGTCATTAAATATTTAGTATTAAAAACATTGATACCCTTGGAGAAGTGAAGCTTTAAAATTTTTACTGCAATTTCACAAAATTGAAAATATTTCAAAAACGGTAAGGTTTAAGTATAATAAACCTTAATCAAATTTACATTTATTTTAATCGTAGAAACTAAAAATGTAATAATATACAGGGTGTTCCATTTAAAAAAATACAACTTTGATATTTTTTATTTATTTGGGACACTCTGTATCTTGTAAAAATATTTTTGAATTGTAGCTCTAATAGTCCTTCAACGAACCCCAAACTTACAATTTGTAAAAATATCATCGTTTAGCCACAATACTCCGTGTCGTATGTGGTGAACAACCCTGTATACATAAGATGGCTATTTCTTGTTTCCGATAGTTCCAATTTAAGATAAGTTCTATTTAATTTTCTATAATAATTCAGAAATAAAATTTCAGTTAATTCTATTAATAACTGAAAGAGAATATTATTTTTCTTCAGATTATGACTCATCATTTGACGGGATATGATCAAGACTATGCCACCGATTACTACCAAAACAACAATGTTGCCAACTACGACGGGATGTACTACGATCCTCAAGATACTGGAATAGGTAATGGCAACCTCGTTGACAGCAATGAGGGACTTGAAGAACCCACCTCAAGACTTTATGCTGAGGTAACAACTTTATAACTTTTTAAGTCATAGAAACTGAACACATATTTTGCTTTTTTTAATGTAGTTTGTACAGAGAAGGAATGTATGGTATTGATGGTGATTGACTGTTACTTTAACACAAAATTAATTGCTTTTTCTGTCATTTTTTGTTCTAATTTGTGAAAATAATATAGTTTTTTGTTGTTTATAGGGCTATCCAGATATCCAACCAAACCAATATCATGAAGAAACTGTAGATTATGGAATAACAAACAAACAGCAAATTCCTGAAGTTTCTGTCAATCATTATGAACCTCCGATAGTTCAGCAGTCAAGGAAGTATGTTTATATTTTTTTATTATAGTTGAATATAAATACAAATTGAATATATCGGAACCACCAAGATTTTATCAAATAATAAAGATCTTCTGGCACTAAATCATAAAAATGAAAATATCTAGGAAAATCTTTGTCTAAGGGTTAGGCAACCATAATAGTGCTTTGAAGAGATATGAATTATCCATTGAATATGGGAATAATATAGCGGGTGTTTTATTTAAAATAAAAGAGTAACTTGCTTTTAAATGTGACCAATGTTCCATATTAATTTTGTCTTGCCCTGTATAACTTCTCGGGTAAAAATTTAATTTGGTTCAAACCACAATGATTGTTTTAATTAAATATCAGACTATACAGGGTAAATAATAATTTAAGTAGTTTTTATTAAAATTTAAATTTACTACACAGGCTTTGAAAATTTTATTTCAGTACAAAATACTGAGATACGCATTTTTATTATATTTTAGCTACTACTACGATGTTCCTCGGCAGTACTCTCGTCACCATCACCATCATCATCACAGTAAAAAGCACAAATCGTACCAACTGCAGTACCAGAATCAGAACCAAAGCTACAATCAGCATCCGAACCACCATTCTTTGTACACCCAATGTCCACTGGTCAATCAGGAACAAAATTACAACCAACCGGAGTACCTAGAGGGTTATGACGCTTCTTATGGTGACTACGTGAACCAAACTAAGCAGTCTGAGTACTATGGGGCGTATTATGGCGATTCTAGAGTGAGGAATGTTGCTACTGGGTACTATGTTCAGGGTAAAGGAATGAAGACTGGGTCTAGGAAGTATCCTGTTACTGTGAAAACACCTAAGTGAGTATAGAAAGCTATTTATTATATAAGTTATCATGTAAAGTAACCGTTAAAATTGCCTTATATCTATCAAAAATAGTAGATAAAATAGTACTTTAACCGCAAGTGTAGATTAAATGATACTGTAACAGCGAGGATAGGTTAAAAACTTTATTTCTTCTCGCATGTTTTTTAATTGCTTCCATTTTTGAAAATTTTTGTATTCTTTTTCATAAGTTATTCGGGATTTAAAGGGAAGTAGTTTGGATATGAATATCTGTTGTTAATTTACTTATTTCGTTTTGAGCCATTTCTGGCTCCAATTCAAACAGCAATCGACACGAAAGAAAATTAAAAAATATTGACTCAAAACTGACAACTAAAGCTTCATTTATTTATTTGTCAAATTACATAGAAACCAACCCCAACCCAGCACAATATTTTTTCTACTCGTAATAAATTCCTGGAAATAATAATTTCTGAATATTTTTTAAAACGTATCTCGCTATGGAAAAAATAGTGTTTTATACACGACGATAAAATTGCATTATCGTTGCCTCTCTTTACGGTCGACGATAAAATATATAGGATCCTATATCTCCTACGCGGAGCAAAGGGCTTCAGTGAAAGCTCTCCATCGGGTTCTGTTTTTGGCAGTTGTTTTTGCTTCCTTTCATGTTGACCCTACTTGTTGAAGCTCATCCAGTATGGAACGTCTCCATGTTTGAGCAGGTCGTCCTTGCTTTCTTTTTCCTTGGGGATTCCACTCCAACGCTGATCTCGCTATATTACTATCAGGTTTCCGCAAAGTGTGACCTATCCAACCCCTATATTCTTTTGCGGATTTCAATGCCTACTTCCTGTTGGTTTGTAAGATGAAGCAGGTCGGTGTTACGTATAGTGTCTAGCCAAGAGATTTTAAGTATTTTCCGCAAACAGCAATTGATAAACACCTGTGGACGGTTGATGGATATTTTTGTCACTCTCCATGTCTCGCAGCCATATAATAAAACTGGTATGACGTTGGAATTGAATATTCTTAATTTTGTTTGTATGGAGAGTTGACGGGAGGTCCAAACTGATTTTAGTTGGCCAAAGGCTCGCTGTGCTTTCCTGATCCTGCTGACAATATCCGCGTCTGCGCCACCGTTTGCTGTTACAATACTTCACAGGTAAGTAAACTCTGTTACATTCTCGACATGTTTGATTCCCACATTGAATGGAGTGTTGTTGTTTGTGTTAATGCGCATTGACTTTGTTTTGTCGATGTTTATGCTTAATCCTACTATGTCTGCTTCTGTTTTTAGACGTCTGAGCATCATTTCCATGTCTTTGAAGGATTACGTTGTGAGACAGATATCATCAGCATAATCAAGATCCGTCAGATGCGATGTCAGAGTCCATTGTACTCCCCTAATGTTTGCTGTGGCTTTAGTCAAAACGCTGTCGAGCACGATATTAAATAAAAGCGGCGATAATGTGCAACCCTGCTTTACTCCTGTCCCTAAGTTAAAACTGTCGCTGGTTCTACCGTTGTGCAGCACATTGCATTCTGTGTTTCTGTAGAGTTCCTTGATTATATTAATTAGTTTTTCAGGAACACCTTTTTCTTTTAGAGTTTTCCATAGCATCGCATGGGGGATACTGTCAAAAGCTTTGACTAAATCTATGAATAATAAGAATAAAGGTGACCTAAATTCTATTGATTGCTCTATGATAATGCGCAAAGTGTTAATATGATCAATGCACGAGTGGTTCGGTCGGAAACCAGCTTGGTTCTCTCTCAGAGTAGGCTCTATATAGGAGTTTAACCTTAAATGAACTATAGAGGATATTATCTTGTGAATGGTGTTTAACAAAACCACTTTAATAAATAATAAATTACAACAATTATTAGGTAATCCAAAAGATAAAACACCTCCACTGGAAAGGTTGGGTATTTATGAAATTTCTTGTAAAGATTGTAATCAGAAATATGTTGGGCAAACTAGAAGATCAATATTAACTAGATTTAAAGAACATTTAGCTCAGATAAGATATGGTAGACCGGATAAATCTTGCGTTGCCGAACATATTGTTGATAATGAACATTGTATAGATCTTAATAATTTAAAATTAATTAAACAAGTCTCAAATTACAGGCAATTAGATGCATATGAAAGCATCAGAATTAATAAATGTAAAGATAGTATGAACAGAGTCAACGGTCCAATTCCTTCAAGTTCTTTGTTCCTACTACTCTAGTGGCGGAAATCTAACTGTTACGCTCGGTTGGCTCTGACTCGGTTGGCTAGATTTTGCCACGCCCACTCGGTACCCACTGAGCGAGTATATAAACGCTCAACTTGTAGATTGTACTTTAGTTTATAATCATATGCTGATGATGCTAACATGGTTAGCGAAACGCGCGTCCAGTGTAAAAGTAAAAGTGTTTTGGTGTATTGTGGTGTTTTTATTTTGCTGTGTAACACCAAAGGTTCCAACCCTCAACTGTAATAAAAACAATACCTCTCCAGTTGTCACAGTTAGTGGTATCTCCTTTTTTAGGGAGTTTAGAGACCCTGTTTCCATTCATCTGGGATGATGTTAGATACCCAAGCTCGTGTAATTAGAGGATGCAGTATGGATCTGCTTTGAGGAGGTCTGCAGGGACGCTATCGGGACCGGCTGCTTTATTGTTCTTAAGTGTTTTAATAGCCTTTTGTATTTCTGTTTTCGTTGGCGTGTCGCAGTTGATACGCATTTTGATTGTTGGCTTCGGTTCCTCGTTGTCGAAATTTTGTTCACTTATTGTTGCACACACAAGCTGTTCTTCAGAGGATGTTAGTGGTCTGCCGTCTTTGCTTTTAATAACTGTATTGAAGTTACTACGTTGTCCACTCAGGTGTTTTGTTATTTTGTACAGTTCCCTAATATTGCGTTGTTCTGCGGCTTTTTGTGCCTCGTTTGCTAGTTGTTCATGCCAAGCTCGTTTGTCCTTTCTGGCTGATCTCTTAACTGCTCTATTCGATACTTGATATTGTTGTTGTAAAGTAGTTTTGGTCTCGTGAGTTGAAGTTGTATTTATTCTTCGTTTTATCCAAGTATCGTCGCTAAGCCACGATAAAATACCAACTATTAAACCGATATTTAAATATCTTAAAGAAAATGTGATGAAAATGGGAATCATGAAGAATTATTAAACGTGTATCTTAAGGAGTTTAAAATCTAATCGACTCATTTTTTAAAATTACTTGTTAATACATAACAAACAAGAGTGTATTTTAAACAAAACACCACATACCAAAAACATCCTGCAATTATTATTTATTAATATAACTTATGCACCAATAATGTGCTATAAAATGTTGTTTCAGGAGAGTTGAATATCCGGGAAAGTTGAGTTATTGAATGTTAACTAATAATCTATAATTTACTACAACCCAACAACGCCCTCATTACGCTCTACTTTACGCGTTAACATTTTTTTGGCAATTTTATTAACATTTGAAATTGTCACAACACGACGCGACGCGACGCCCAGTTCGAACTTTTCCTCATTTATTTTTACTACCCGAAACAGCGTTACATCACACAAACCTCGTACCTGAGTGTTTTATATAGTCTCAATAACTGCACTAGCAAAAAACTAAAATACTTAAATATTATAATAAAACATAATAATTTCTGATTTTTTGCCATTGAAACGTTGCGGTCGGAATTTGTTGAAATCAACTGAAATGCACCAAGCCTATACAGGGTGTTTAAAAACAAATTGTTCAAAATAAAGGGGAGTTTGCTTTATAAACGTTGGGTCAAAAGTCAACCATTAGGGAGATATCGCGGTACAAAGATGGCGGAAAAATAATGTTTTTATTTTTTTATCTTGAAAACGAAAAGAGATAGACTAATGAAATTTTATGGAAGCATTACTGTTATGAAAACACACCTTCTGGTAATTTTTTCACTTTTAAAATGAGTGGAAGGGGTTGAAATAAACTACCCCTATCATTCTTGTTAACGAAATTTAAAGAAAAATCTTATCAAACACATGCAAAAAAATTAATTTGAATAGTTTAGTTTGTTTAGAAACTTTTTTATCTCTTGTATTTTTTTGATAAAACTCACCGATTTAAAATTAAAAAATAAAATGTAAAGCATTACATGTCAGAACAAAAAACATTTTCTGATAAAGAATCTAGTGGGCTGCTGTAATTTTTTTAGGAATAAATCTAGTCGGCCGCTGTTACTTTTTAGGATGTTTCTAATATTATTTTATTTGACATTACTTTACTGCAATAGGTTATTATCTAGATGATTATTATTATCGTTATTATCACTAGATTCTTAATCTAAACATTTCTTTTGTCCTGACATGTAATGCTTTACATTTTATTTTTTAATTTCAAATCGGTGAGTTTTATTAAAAAAACACAAGAGATAAAAAAGTTTCTAAAGAAACTAAGCTATCCAAGTTAATTTTTTTGCATGTGTTTGATAAGATTTTTCTTTAAATTTCGTTAACAAGATTGATAGGGGTAGTTTATTTCAACTCCTTCCACTCATTTTAAAATAGTGAAAAAATTACCAGAAAGGGTGTTTTCATAACAGTAATGCTTCCATAAAATTTCATTAGTCTATCTCTTTTCGTTTTCAAGATAAAAAATAAAAACATTATTTTTCCGCCATCTTTGTACCGCGATATCTCCCTAATGGTTGACATTTGACCCAACGTTTATGAAGCAAACTACCCTTTATTTTGAACAAGGAATCACCCCCTGACGTTTTTTGTTTTGAAACACCCTGTATATAGGCTTAATATGCAAACATACCCTTCAAGTTTGTATTAGGATTGAGGTTTGGGGGATGGAAGTTACCCCTTAAAGAGGGGTCGGAGATCAGATCGGGACGCTTCCCCTCCCAGTCTGGTGGCTTGGCTTTGATTGTAAATGGACTTAGACCGAAATGACAATGGAGGGGCTCGGTCGCCGATATTGAAACCGATCCCGGCAATAATTTATTTAGAGACCGTAGTTGCGGTGTCGGGGATTAATAATCAAGTTGGCGGAGTGCTGGAGACCTTTTAACTCGGGTCCCGATCGCATTTAAAATTTAAATAAGTCTGCAAAGATAGAACAATAAATTCTGCTGACTCTGATTGCGAAAAAATGTATTGTTCGTTTGGTTCAAACGATCCACTTTCGAGTAAGAAATGTCAGCAGAAAATTAAACATTGTAGACTATAGCTTTCTTTCCCGATATCAGTCGTGCCGTTTTTGTATAGTAGGCTTCCTTGATCTTGAAGTCTAATAAATGGTCTTTGTTTTTTGAAAACCGTTGATGTTCTCAAAAAAATCTTTTCTTAAACATGATATGCTATAAAAGAAATAAATAATGTTGTTTACTCCACAAGCTGTACGTTTTTATCATAACTATTAAAACTATGATGACCACTTTCTTAATTTTATTAAAAAATATTGGTTTGCAGTTGATTACAACATTATCCATATTCATGAAGCCTAAAAAATCTACTGCGTGATACTATTAAGAGAGAATATATATATATATATATATATATATATATATATATATATATATATATATATATATATATATATATATATATATATATATATATATATATATATATATATATATATATATATATAGTGCCGTGTCCTATCTTAACGTACGATTCATTTTCTTTATATAGCTCTTTTATTATCTTAAGCAAAGGTATATCTACTTCTAAGATATTCAATACTTCCCATATCTTGCTGCGGGGAATAGAGTCGTACGCTTTCTCCAAATCAATAAATGCTAGATGGACTTCTTGATCTACTGCTATCTTTTTTTCCATCACCTGCTGCAGGACAAAAAGTTTATCTGTGCAAGATTTCCCCGGTGTGAATCCGCTTTGGTCTTCCGAGATTTTGTCACCAATACTGTCCCTGAGCCTACCCTGTAGCACCTTTCCAAAAAGTCTGCTGATCGAACTGTTAATGCTTAGGCCTCTATAACAAGTGGGGTCGTTATGATTTCCCTTTTTAAAGATGGACACTATGTGAGCCACTCGCCATTCTCGGGGTATTTTACTTTGCAGGCAGCACTGGTTAAATAGCTCTGCCAGACGCCAGCGCAGTCTTTGGGTTCCACACTTTAACAATTCGGCTACAATATTACCAGGACCTGGTGACCGTCCATTTTTCATTCTTTTGAGACTTTGATGTACTTCTCTCTCGCTTATCATTAAAGTGCCTGCAAGGTTGTTCTCATCTTCTACTGCTTGGAATTCTGGTCGGTTTTCTGTCAGTAATTCTGCATAGTAGTTGCGCCATTTTTCTATATCCATTCTATTCAAGAGCTTGTCCGTTTGATTGGTTTTCATTTGTCGGATTGTTCTCCATACCTCAGTACTCCGTGCGCCCCCTATTAAGCTTTCCACTTGCTGGCACCTTCTTTCCCAAATATCTGTTTTTCCTACCTTAATGGCGGCTCGTACCTCTCTATTTTTTTGCTTGTAATGACTCCAGTTAGTATCTGTTCGGTCTGAGAGCCATCTTTGAAAGAATTTTTGAGAAGAGAGTAAATAAATATAACAAAATCTGATACTTCAAAAAAAAATTAATTATTTATTTCGCAAGTTACTCAATTATTTAAAAAAATTCACTCAACTGAATAAATTGAAAAATAAATATACAATAAAAACTAGATTTTCTCTGACTGAAATCTATCTTCATAAAATATTTTTCTCTTCCTCTGTTTAATTTTATGTATCAAATCCGTTCAGTATCCGATTCCTTTTCAATAAAATCTTTTTTTTACGATCTCTGTGACCCGTTTATTTCAATTGATATGTACCCACCCCAAAAAGGAAATTTTCTTAATTTTCTGTTTCAGTTTCGTAGATTTTCAGAAAAAAAATTGTTACTTGACTAAAAAATATAAAAACGTTGTATTTATGAATATATTTTTCAGGTATATAACAAAAAAATTAGTATCTACACCGTTAAATAAGAAACCATCTGCACTATGTTTGGCTGTTGGTACACAGCCAGATCCAGCACTACTTAAAAGAAAAAGCAAGACACATCATGTAAGTAATATATTATAGTTCTTCTCATACAACTGCTCCCATCAAACAAATTATTGAGTCTATCCTACATTATATTTTTACACGTTTTAAGTAAAATTAAAACAGCACTGAAAAATCGGAATTTATGTCGGCCATATTAATTTTCAAATAAATTTTTTATATGCTCCTTCCTTAATCTTTTTATTCAATGGTCAAAACAGAAAATTTACCTAACAATCTACTATGCTCTACCTGCAACATGCTAAGTACTTCTAGTCTTGGTAAATCAATAATTATTATTTTTTATAGACTGTGAAGAAAGTCTATGATAGAGCCGAGGAATCGTTTCAAGTATCTGCACCTCAGGAAAATGCCAATTTTTCGTATTCAGCCCATCAGATGGATTCTGAAGGTGATTTGAACAGAAAACCCATGCCAAACAATTTGGAAAACTCTTTTAATCAGTATCCAGTCCAAGGGAACATTGTTAGTAACGTTGAAAACTCTTTTAACCAATATCCAGTGCAGGGAAACCTTCCAAATCATCTGGAAAACTCTTTTAAACAATACCAGGTCCAAGAAAATATTTCTAATAGCGTGGAAAACTCTTATAACCAATATCCAGCTCAAGAAAACATTACTAGTAACCTGGAAAACTCATTCACTAAATATCCTGTTCAGGAAAATGTTTCTAGGGAGAATTTGGAGGAAACTGATGGTCAGGAGAATATCAAGGCTTTTGCAAAATTTTTAAAGCCAAGGGTAAAAAGAAAAATCTTAATACAGCATGTCCCCGGATTGTTTTTGCAAGTGCAAAAAAACTTGGAAAAGTATAGACGGGATTAACCATTTTAGAACAAGCAATTTTTTTTAAGAAAAATGCATTCTTCTCAAAATGTAAATAATAAAAAGTTTTTCCACTCGTAAAGACAATCTGGTGACATACTATAGATAGTATAGTTTATTCTTATTCTGATATTTTATAATAACTTTTATTTATATCATTCCTAAATACTTTTGGAGTTGATCGATTTCTTTATTCATTTATTCCTTTTTCTTTATTTATTTTCACTCTTTTTCTGTTTTTATGAAGGTCCTGTAAATACGCCAATGTCGTAAACAAACAGTATGTTTACATTTTGTTTGTATATGTTGGGCCAAAAACAACTCATTGTATCTACTATCTTAAATATCTACTATACAATGTTGTATTTTCTCAAATAGGTGCCATCATCTATAAAAGCTAAGCAAGAACGAATAGCTCAGATGAAATCATCATTAAATATGGCGGGTGGGGTTCCCCTACAGCCCAAAATGAAGATTTCTTTAGATAAGCTGTTGAACAGACTCCAAAAGTGCGAAGACCAAGACCAGAAAAACGGGAATAACGAAAAAACTTCTGAGACTTTGAGTCAGTCCAAAAAAGATGGAAAAACTAAAAAAATATCTAAAGTACAGTATTAAAAACCTGAAAAATTGCAAGTCTTTATATTTGTTAATTTTTTTCCAGTTGGACAGCTTCAATTATGAATCATTGTCACAAAAAGGTGCATTATCATCTAAAAATCCCGATGATGTTAACAAGGGTGTTCGAAAAAAGTATTCTTCCACCTTGGAACTGAAGAATTCTTTAAGATTTATGAAACCTTTGGATGATAATTGTGCCTTGGATTTGCACAGATCAAAGAGTTACATTGTTGACTTGATTGACAAGGCTCTGAGCAGGGAATTGGGAACAGTACCTAGGGAACAACTGGTAAGTAGCTTGGAGATTTATTTTTTGGTTTTAGTAAAAATATTAATGAATGATAAGATTATTAATATAGAGAAATCAGCAAAATAAAACACTAATTCGCCACAATCATCAACAGATGTTTAATGTTATGCGCAAAAGTTATTGATATTTTTTCTTAATTGTCTTGTAGCTTCACCAAAATATGACCCCGAAGAAAGCCATAGAGGCCATCAGTAGGCACCATCAACCCGATTCCAAAGATCTGTCATTCGAAGTGACAGCCGCGTTGACAGATTCCTTCATTTCCAACGTAACAGCGCCCCCTAGCAACGAAAATAACGAAGCTAGAATATTGTTGCAGGATCCCAGACAAGTGCAGAGTGACGACGAAACCAAAAAGAAAGTCTGTAAGTATTTTATCAAGAAAGATCTGTAAAACCGTCTCAGATTCTGGATTTTGTCAAAGTCCTGAGACTGTATGATGAGATATAAGACAAGAAAGTCTCTCTAACTCAAAAAAATCTTGTAGCAAGACTAAAACTATTTATTGGACTTCAAGACTAAGGTACTCTTGGTTTTGGTATTTTATTTGTTCATCACTAGATTTGAGATTATTTCTTATTGATTTTTAATATTAACTATTGATTTATAAATATAAAAATATTGCTTTTAGGTAATCCCAATTATATCAAACAGCTAAAACAGCTAAGATGGGGCCATATACGCCACATTCAGCACGAAGCTAGAAAGTTAGCTGACCTGGAAGAGTTTCTAGAAAATTGTGGTGAATCAGATTTTTGAAAAAAAAATACACCGTGTATGTCAATTTTGTGATATGTAATTAACTATAATAAAAGTGGTTGAAATAAAAATAAAATTATTAGAAAATATGGCAATGCTTTATTTTTAAAACTTGTATCTAACAAAATTAGTGTGTTAGAGTCAGCTACAGATAAAAAATATGTCAAACAAAACAGCTTAATATTATTTGTATATATAATATTTGTAAAATTTATTTTATATTTTACAATAATTAATAATAGTAGGTACATATTATGATGTCATTATTTTGTCTAATGTGTACATAACTTATATATATATATATATATATATATATATATATATATATATATATATATATATATATATATATATATATATATATATATATATATATATATATATATATATATATATATATATATATATATATAATCATTATATTGGTATATAAGATTTTAAAGCCAAATCTAGAAATTCAGGCCACTCTATATTAATTTTCTTCTATTTAAAGAGTTTTAACTGAACACTCTGTATATCTAAATATATAGAGGGTGAGTCTTAAACAATTTAATCTATATTCAGGCCTGTTAGATATCATGAAAAAACATATTTTCCCTTTTTATAAAAAAATATTTTTCCAAATAAGTCCAAAATAGTATTTGTATAAATTATTTTGTGTTTAACTTTTGAGAACCACTGTATTTCTTCTGTGTTTTTGTGCCTCGAAGTTGCAATAATCTTATCTTATTATGTTTTTTTATGTTTTTTAAGTGAAAATTAAAAAAAATACAAAAAAACAAAAACAAATTCCCAAAAAATCCTCACAGATGTGTGCACTAAATATATGCACTTATTCAAGACTCACTCTGTATGGTATAATTACCTTATAATTATTTTTCTTACATATACATATCACAGAAATATTTAAGGAAGAATAAAATAAAATTTTACATATATACAAACCAAAAAAAAAACGATTAAAAATGACCTAACAATAAAATTTAAGATTAAATACACTGAATAAACAAAACATTATGATCAAAATTAAGAAAAAAATTAAATAAACAAATAATTTTTAGTATTTTCTACTTTTATCAGTAAATTTTTCATTTATTTAAACAAAAATTTGAATTTTTAAAACAATTTTTCTCAGTGCATTACAAGAATGTCTAACTATATTCTTCTATAATTATAAACTAAGCTTCTACCCACACGGTATGATTTAAACTTCAAATCTACCATCACTAGTGAGTCTGTAAACCACCTCACTACCAAACTTATCCATCATTTTAACACTCACGTCTTCGTTTTTAGTGTTTCTTATCAAAGGATGATTTGTTACAGCTTTATAAAAGAAACTTTTAGATTTTTCACCTTTTTTCGGGATCTTTTGTACATAAGAAACAAAAGGTTTTTTGCTAGAAGGTTTCTTAGTTTGTGTAGTTGGTTTTATAGTAGTTGTAGTAGTAGTACTAGTTGTAGTAGAAGTAGTTGTAGTCAAGTCCTTAGGATTAATAATAATAGTAAAAGGCACAGGTAAAGAATATTCTGCTTTTTCTCCACGTTTTGGGATCCTCTGTATGTAATTCTTCTCTTTGTTGGGTGATTCGGACTTAGAAGAAGCAACATACTTCACCAGAGGTGTATTCAGTATCTTCGTTCTATCCATAGGTAAAATGGTCATTAAATTGGGTATACTTTGTTTGTTATTTGAATCTGGCGTTGTTGATATGTCTAGAGCTTTTGAGCTCAAAGTTTTTGACGTAGTATATAAGTCTGGAGAATTTAATGTTTTGGTTGTGGTGTATTCAAATACAGGTAGTTTCTGAGTTGTTACAGGGATCACTGATGAAGTTTCTGATGTTGATTTAGTTGCAATAGAAACAGTTGATAATATAGGACTTAAAGTAGTTGATATAACTGATGATGATTCTTGAGTTGTTACAGTTGGCAATGTAGGTACTTTCTGAGTTGTTACAGGAATGAGAGATGAAGTTTCTAATGTTGATTTCGTTGGAACAGAAACAGTTGATGATAATGGACTTGAAGTAGTTGAAGTTGATGATGTAACTGATGATGATTTCTGAGTTGTTACAGTTGGCAATGTAGGTATTTTATGAGTTGTATCAGGAATGGTAGATGAAGTTTCTAATGTTGATTTCGTTGGAACAGAAACAGTTGATGATACTGGACTTGAAGTAGTTGAAGTTGATGATGTATCTGATGATGATTCCTGGGTTGTTACAGGTGTTGATGTAGAATTTGAAATATTTGAAGAAGAGACAGTTTTTAATGTTGTAGAACTGGTAGAAATTAATGATGTTGTATTTATAGTAGTTACAGATGTTAACTCTTCAGTTGTTACAGTGGAATTTGAAATATTAGATGGTATAGTATTTAAAAATGTAGAAATTTGAGGAATTTCTTGAATAATTACAGGTGATGATGTTGAAATATTACTAGAATCAGGTTTTAAAGTTGTGGAAGTAATAGGAATTGATGATAAATTTGTAGAAGTATCTTCAAGTGTTACAGGTGGACTTATTGAAGTTGATAACGAAATATTTTCAGAAACTTCCAAGGTAGTATGAACCATAGGCACTGTTGACGAAGTTGAAGTCAAAATATCTACCATCGGAGTTATCTCAAGTGCTTCTTGAGTAGTAACAGGCAAATCTGATGCAAGATCAGGAGATTTCGTACTTGATAACTCAACTAAACTATTTATTGAACTAGACAAAGTTTGTGATGTTGTCGGTAAGGAATCTGACACTCTTTGTGTAGTTGGACTCGTAACAGTATGACTCACTGGTCTCATAGACCATATATTAAACAATGGGAATCTTGCTCTTGGTGTACTGGTCATAAACAATGAAGTTGTGCTTGGAACTGTTGGTATATGAGATGGGTTCAATGCTACTGGTTGTGTAGGTTGTTTTGTAGTACTTGTAACAGTCGTTGAAGGTGTTGTAGTTGTCGTAGTAGTAGATTTTGTTGTAGTGCTTGATGTAGTTGATCTTTCAGAAGTAACTACTTCATCAGGTTTCACAGTAGAAAGACTTGGACCAGTCCCAACAAATAAATTCAAGTGAACGTTATCTTCCTGTATGTCAGTGCTATTATTTCTTTCTCTGTGTATATTCATAGTAACGTTTGGTCTCTGTCTAATCCAAATCAACTCCCCTAACCTTCTAGCCCCGTAACTTTCAACCATCGGCAAAATTCTTCTTCTGGTATAATCCTGAGCTCTTGTCAGCACTCTGGCGAAGCCTTCAGGCAACCCCTGGATGGCAGTGACGAAGTTTTCCAAAGGTCTGAAGTTTCCTCCTTGCGGTACTCTGGGTGGTTCGTCGCTGTGCTCTACCTCGATGTTCTGGAGTGATTTGGAGTCATCCTGGCGTTTCTTTTTGGTCTTCGGTGACTCGATTTCGATAGAGAACGTGGAATTGGCACGGTTGAAGGTGTACATGTTAGTTTGTTTTGGAGTGGTTGAGGTTAGGAGAAGGCCTAGAAGAAAAAGAAAGAGAGAAGAAGCAAAGAAGATAAAGATTTGAGAGAAGAAAAGTGTAAAGATGTTTGAAGATAGATCAATAAAAAATATCTCACTTAGGAAATAGACTATGACTCTTCTATTGATTTATCTTTAACTGCATTCAACTAGAGAATCGCATTTATTTCAACACTGCTGTAAACTAGGAGGTGGTTTAATAGAATATCTGAAAGATATGAGGCATCAAGTTGCAAAAGCCATCTTATCCCTAAAACATTGATATAGAGATAATACGCAAAATCTATTTTAGCAAATGTTTGAAGCGTTATTTTACTATTAACGTGTCCATTAAGTGGAATCATTGTATTGTATCTGATTTTTCTAGAAATAAAAATTAATCTTTAATTTTTAATGGGAAAAAACAATTAGGATCAAATGATAACTCTAGTTTGTTAGTGTTAAAATAAGAATATAAAAATATTTATTTATATTTTTAAGCCAGAAGACATAATTTAGAATGTTAAATATATTATATAAATAAAATATTTGTTAATATATAAAAAAGAAAATGTTAGTAACATTATTGAGAAATATAGAATAAAATTTATTAATACAAAACTATATCTTCTTTTGAAATTTTTATTTTTGAGTAGAAAAATATAAAAATTGTTTATACTAAAATAAATATAAAAAATATATTTACACTTTGGAAAAAATTCACTAGTCTTTTACTAAAAAGTTTTAAAGAAGTCTTCAGATTCATTTTTATTGTTTTTTTTTTGTCTGGCTTGATTGGGAGACAAAATAACTCACTAAACTTAACAAAAATATCATATACAAAAGAATTATTACATTGTCAAGATTTTGAGTAAAGTATATACCGATTTCTATAACTCTTTGTGGTACTAAACCTTTATATATATTCTTGTAACTAGGATATAATAAACAATCGATAAAGGAATTACCAAAATATGGTCTCAATATTTTCAGCCTAAAGTCTTTAGTACCAGTATTACAAAGAACGGTTTCTGCGTTCAAAAATGCGATAGATATACAGGGTTGTTCACCACATACGACACGGAGTATTGTAGCTAAACGATTAGATTTTCACAAATTGTAAGTTTTGGGTTCGTTGAAGGTCAATTAGAGCTACAATTTAAAAATATTTTTACAAGATACAGAGTGTCCCAAATAAGTAAAAAATATTATAGTTATATTTTTTTAAACGGAACACCCTGTATATTATTCTATTTTTGGATTCTACGATTGAAATAAAGGTAAATTTGATTAAGGTTTATCACACTTAAACCTTACCGTTTTTGAAATATTTTCAATTTTATGAAATTGCAGTAAAAATTTTAAGGCTTTATTTCTCCCAGGGTATCAAACTTTTTAATACCAAATATTTACTGAAGATTATTTATTGATCAGATATTGTGATGCAATAATAAAAATTTTACTACCTTATACAGAGTGTCCAAAAATTTATATTAAATAATTACTAGCTTTAAACGGCAATAACTTGTTTAATTTAAATGGAACACCCTATATATTTTACGTAAATTAGATGCACAATATAATTTAGTAGTTTAGGCTTTCGCGGCCATCGTTTGAAGAATTTTGGTTTTTCGGGTTATTAGGCCGTCGTCGGTTAGAATTGCTTCCTAGAATTTTGGTTTTTCGGGTTATTAGGCCGTCGTCGGTTAGAATTGCTTCCTTGAATTTTGGTTTTTCGGGTTATTAGGCCGTCGTCGGTTAGAATTGCTTCCTTAGGAAGCAATTCTAACCGACGACGGCCTAATAACCCGAAAAACCAAAATTCCACAATATAATTGTCTATCAAATTTTATTATACCATTTTTTACCCATCTCTTCAAGTTTTCGTCGAAAATGCATTTTTTTTATAATTTAGGCCTCATTTATCACTATACCTATGGAATATTGACATTTCAGATTTTTTTATAGCACCATAATATGTACAAAATGTACAGGTGGTAAATATTGCAAGCCCATTGGCATACAAAATAAACTATTTAAATATTTATAAAAGAGTATACCAATTAAATATACCATTATTATTTCCTACCAAAAACACCAAAAATTAGTTAATTACATACTTATAAATTGTTTTAATTAAAAAATTATTCTAAATAAATGTGGATTTGGCTCAGAAATCAATATAATAATAAGTTATAAAAATGAATGTCTATGTTTTTATAAATAAGCATTCGTTAATAAATGAAGTAAAATCTATAAGGTGTTGCTTTTTACCACACTGTCTAATACACACACAAAATTCAGTTTTTTAGTATTTGGAGCAATTATTACTACAACGTAAACAGTCAAATAATGTAGTTTGAATACTGGGATCATATTAATTGGTCCTCTTTAACAAAAAATATTTAAACAATAAAAGTTTTTTTATTTTTTAATTAAATAATCGAACTAGATATATCGACAATATTAGTATCTGTACCCTATGAAAATTTGTTATATCTTTAAAAATAAGCTAAAATGTCAATATTCCATGGGTATAGCGATAAATGAGGTCTAAATTATAAGAAAATGCATTTTCTATGAAAACTTCAAGAGGTGGGTAAAAAATGGGGCAATACAATTTGATAGACAATTACATTGTGAATCTGATTCACGTAAAATATATAGGGTGTTCTATTTAAATTAAACAAGTTATTGCCGTTTAAAGCTAGTAATTATTTAATATAAATTTTTGGACACTCTGTATAAGGTAGTAAAATTTTTATTATTGCAACATAATATCTGATCAATAAATAATCTTCAGTAAATATTTAGTATTAAAAACTTTGATACCCTTGGAGAAATAAAGCCTTAAATTTTTTACTGCAATTTCATAAAATTGAAAATATTTCAAAAACGGTAAGGTCTAGGTGTGATAAACCTTAATCAAATTTACCTTTATTTCAATCGTAGAATCTAAAAATAGAATAATATACAGGGTGTTCTATTTAAAAAAATACAACTATAATATTTTTTACCTATTTGGGACATTCTGTATCTTGTAAAAATATTTTTAAATTGTAGCTCTAATAGTCCTTCAACAAACCCAAAACTTACAATTTGTAAAAATCTCATCGTTTAGCTACAATACTCCGTGTCGTATGTGGTGAACAACCCTGTAGACTAGAAATTATATTTTTTTTGGAATCAAGAGTGGGAACGTTTGATTAAGCTTGCTCTGTACAAAATGTTTTTAAACTAAAAAAACTGTTCCTTGAAAAGACTTTTGGATTTTTCGCCATTAGAAAAAAATCTACAAAATAAAAAAGATATTTTTTGTGAACACCACAGCGGTGATACAACGGAGACGAATTTGTCAGTAATATTTTACTATGGGAAAAATCTTTTCAGGTTAACAACACTTCATACCAAACAAAAACTTTCATCAAAATATCCCAGACAAAGGAATATATTTCTTTTCCTCGCTAGGCTCACCAAACACAGGCAAATTCACATAAATCTTTTTCTTCCCACTCAACTTATCCTCCTTACTTTCACTAGTAGTAGTCGTTTCTAACGATTCCAAACTCTCATCCCTCGGGAAAATGTACTCCTTATCCGCCTTCTTCTTAGTAATCCTCTGTATATGACTGTAGGACTCCGTTGAAGTCATTTGAGGTTGAATAGGCTGCAAAGTAGGCAGATTCAGCACTCTAGCCTCGTTGGGATTGTCACTTTTCACGTCTATGTGCTTGGATTGGGCTAGTTCTTGGACTTCGTCTTCGTCATAGTGTACAGGAATGTATCGAGGGTTGTTTCTAGGACTTCCTATGAAGTCTGTGATGAATCTGGGGGTGTAAGTGCTGACCAGGGGTAGAATGTTTTCTCTGGCGTACTTTTCAGCTTGCTCGAACATTCTGGCTAGACGTTGTGGTAGGAGTTGGACAGTGCTGACTATGCTGTCCAGTGGATTGACGTTAGGTACGGATTCTGGCCTGAAATATCATTAATTCCAATATAATGACAGTATACTATTTTTGTTAATAAGTAGGCAAAAGACTTGACTTAAAATGAATGTTCTAAGTAAGAAATAAAAAAAGTTAAACCCTTTTAATTGTTGGAGAAAATAAAATACTCACAAAACTGCTAAGAGTTACAAAAACTTTACAAAATATTTTTTTTCTGTTAAAAACTTACCTAAACTGAGGTGATTCAAAATCTTTCAAAGACTTCGATTCTTCCTGTCTATTTTTTCCTTGATAACCATTCTCATCAACATGATCCCAATCAGAAGATTCATACTGCGACCTCTTGGTACTTTCATCGTTCCTGTCGCTAGCCAATTTACCAGACTCACTAGTACTGCCAGCACTACTTTTAGCAGTAGTTGGACCCAGAATTGGTTCTGTTATCTCGGGTTTATTTTGTCTATCTGGATCATGAGACCTCGCGTTCTTGGTTGATTGAGGTTTCAACACTGGCTCAACAATTTCACGCACCAAAGCATTGTTGGTTGAGTGTTGCTTGTTGAGTTTATCAGTTTTGATAATTCTAGTGTTGAAAGCTCTGCTTGACTCAGCTTCATTGTCTTGCAAACTATTTTCGTTCTCTAAAATACAAAAAAAAATAATAATTAAAAAGAGTAAATATGAATTTTTTCCTAACTCAAACCTGTTTTCCAAGGTTTTTCCTTAACAATATCTTTATCATCTTCACCAGAAGAATCTTTTTCAGACTCTCCAGGGTCTTTAAGTCCAATTTTTACCACTTGAGTTGGTACAAAACCTAAGTCCTCCTTGTTATCACTTCTAATACCATATCCAGGATATTTGTTCTCAGCTTCCTGCATCCTATCTTCAGCCTCACTATCTGGATCACAGGATCCAGGATACAGGGGCAGTATAACAGGTGTTCCTGACTCAAGAATTACAGATTTTTTGCAAATTGATGACCTTAAATAAGAAAAAAGAATTTAGCTTCTTTTTAGTGTTTTTTTTTAGTAAAATAAGCTAAGAAGAATATTTAAAAATATTTAGTACATTTTTCCAAAACTATCCATTAGAGTGACTCTGTCCACCTTCCACTGGGTCAATCCAGAAGATAACCAACCACTGTATGCAGTGTACAGTATCTCTATCCTAGTAGGCTGTGATAAAATAGGATGTGGCACCAGAATTCTGGATATTGACTCTCCCAATTTCATCTCTTCATCTTCTTTCCTATAAAAATAATTCAAAATGAAATAAAGCATAATATTAATGTAGATAATTTGTGTTCTAGAGAAATAAGAGATACTAGATTGTATTTTTGTGATATATACCTTGTCATCATGAAGGTTTCGTTAAGAAAGGAGTCTCCTATGAGAGTTATCTGGATTTTTCCGTAACTCTTTACTGGTACTGGACTAGGAGTACTTTCAATTTTGACCAAATACTGATGAGCTAAAAAATTTGGAATAAAGAATGTTTTAATCAAAAATATAAAGTGTGTTAAAAAAGTAATTATATAATATTTTATGAATAGTACAAGATCAAGTTAACTGTTTTTATTGGAAAATTGTTACAATTTACCACAAAATGGTTCCTCGTCTCTTGTAATCAGGTACAATTGTCCTCTTCCTTTGGATCTATCAGCGTAATACCCCATATTACCACATTTTCTAAAAATAATTCATAAAAAATATCTTGTTAAAAAATCATTTTAAACTAAAATTAAGACCATTTTTAATGAAAATGGTCCAGGAAATAAAAAAATATAAAAAAAAAGCTTTGAAGGGCCATTTTTTATGGAAAATTGACATAGATTTGTCATTAAGATATAAAATCATTTTTTATTAAAATTAAGACGATTTTTTATGGAAAACTGACAAGGAAATGAGTGTTACCTTTCGTCGGAACAAGGAAAGCATTTTCCGGCAATAAAATCATCGTAAGAATCGCAGGGGAAGGCAGGGAAATGGCACCTGGGGGACACGGAATCGATAAAGAATTTGTAAGCTCTCCGGTGGTTACACAATGACCGACCCTCCACTGCTGACGCTGAAATTTACAAGAAAAAATAATCAGTAACTATAAAAATACAAGTATGAGGTATAATATATAAATATAAATTTAATTTCTTTTCCAAATCTATTTTCATCTGTTTCAACTTAATTTTTTATTTTTTATTATAGAAATAATGTATTTATAATAACATATGTTTAAAAAAAAACGGCGTCGAGCAAACCTGGGAAATGAAAATCAATGATAATTTTGGCGAGGTCAAGCTCTAGACGTCATTTACTTAGCCCGAAATCTTTATTTTTAATGACGCTTACTGCCAATTGATCTTAAGAAGGCTGTAATTTATTTTTAAATTGTGAAAATGATTTTTAAACGATGTAGTGTAAAATAAGAGAAAAAAATTATGTCAATTTATGTAAAATGTATGTAAAACTAACGTGTACCAGCGACTTCGTTCGCGTCGAATTAATCATTTGTAATGGTGATGATAAAGCAAAGCAAGAATTTCCATTAACGTACAAACTTGATAAAATTTTCTCACATTTATGTCAGCATGAGAAAAAACAATATGGCGATATTATTATATAACTTGGTAATATTTGAGGGGTAGTTTCATCTCGTTGGAATTTGTCTTTTGAAAAATCCGTTTGTCAAAAATAAGCTTTTTACGTCATGCAATTTAAGCAGAATCGTGGTTAAGAAATTACCCAACTTTTTGGAACACCCTGTATGATTTTTAAAAAAAAATTCAAAATATGTAAAAAACCAAATAAATTATGCTTGTCCAAGCGTTTTCTCGAAAGACTAACCGTTTTTTAAATAACAAATATTGTAATATTTGAGGGGCGTTTTCACCCTGTTGGAATTTGAGATTCGGGAAACCCCTCCTTATCGAACCTCTACACCCCACAGTCAATCCGTTTGCCAAAAATCAGCTTTAAACGTCAAGCAGTTTAAGCAGAATCGTGATTAGGTACTCAATGGTCATATTTTATGAAACACCCTGTATAAATTTATAAAAAAATCTTAAAATATGTAAAACAACAAAATAAAATATACGTGTTTAAGAGTTTTTCCGAAAAACTCACCGGTTTTCAAATAAAAAATATTTTAATATTTGAGGGATAGTTTCACCCCCTTAGAATTGGAGTGTCAAAAAATCCCTTCTTATCGAACCTCTACACCCCACAGTCAATCCGTTTGCCAAAAATCAGCTTTAAACGTCAAGCAGTTTAAGCAGAATCGTGATTACTCAATGGTCATATTTCATGAAACACCCTGTATAAATTTATAAAAAAATCTTAAAATATGTAAAACAACAAAATAAAATATAAGTGTTTAAGAGGTTTTCCGAAAAACTCACCGGGTTTCAAATAAAAAATATTTTAATATTTGAGGGATAGTTTCACCCCCTTAGAATTGGAGTGTCAAAAAATCCCTTCTTATCGAACCTCTACACCCTAAAGTCAATCTGTTTTCCAAAAATCAGCTTTTTACGTCAAGCGCTTTAAGCAGGATCGTGATTAATCAATGACCAGATTTTTCGAAACACCCTGTATACATTTTTAAAAAATCTTAAAATATGTAAAAAATAAAATAAAATATATATGTTTAAGCGTTTTTTCGGAAACTTGACCGTTTTTTGAATAAAAAATATTGTAATATTTGAGGGACGGTTTCACCCTCTTGGAACTGGAATTTCGAAAAATCCCTTCTTATCGAACCTCTACACCCTAGAATCAACCTGTATGCCAAAATTGAGCTTCTTACGTTTGAGTGGTTTGAGCAGGATCGTGATTAATCAGTGAGTCAGTCACTTAAGGATTTTATATATTAGTATAGATTCGATCATACGGTATTTTACTCACACCAAATGATATCTGTGACAGCTCCAACAAACAAATGACTACATCCCTTCTGCATACGTCCTCCATTTGGGTAGAAATCAACATGTCCCATTGGCTGAGAGGATCCCAGGCCTCCCAAGATTAAATTCTCCCCATTGCTGTGAATGACGTCAACGAAAGCCGCGTCTGTGTGGTCCAAGCGTGCCCTGGTATCCTGCGATTCAAAAAGAGGTCCTGCAGGATCCAATCCTGTAATACGTACAATAACAATAAGATAACCAGTATGATTATTTGAAGGTTTGAACAATCATGGCAAATCAATATTTCTTTGTTTTTTTGCTTTTGAGCTACGAAACCCTAAAAAGGAAAACTATATACCTGTGATCCGGCTAAGATTTCCCAAATCAGCACCAGCGAATCCAGCAATGTGAGCTCCCAAACTGAACCCAATCAAATGGGTGTCTCTTAAAGAGAGTCCATTTTTGTCCACCATTCCTCTAAGCAACAGTGACAGCTGTTTTCCGACCAATCGCGTGTTGGCTGATGCTTTGACGTAATTAGGTAGAGAAGCACCGTTGGACCAATCCACACAGATTGTGTTCACTTCTTCCTAATTAAAGGAGGAAAAAATATACTACCATACTTTTAAAATATGTCAGTTTTGAACAAAAAACACTAAGAAATAAATAAAAGATATTATTTTTTTACATTCATACATCAAAGACCGGAATCTATAATCGACCGAATGATCGAATAAAAACGATCGATGACATTCGATGACATTCCCCCATACAAATTTCCATTTAAAATGATAGTGATCGTCATTTCATAGCCATCGCTGACGCCGTTTTTTTTCTCGATCGTATGGTAAAAGAATATATTGAAAACCTTCTTGAAATCAAGATAGATAAGGAAAACATACTTAATATACGATTTCTCATTATTTAATTATAATTTATTACAAAAATACTCACAATATTACATGATAATACAAAAAAAAATCAATATTAAAATCTATCGTTTGATTAAATCTATTAATTTTATCCATATACCTAACTTAGTTGGCTTTGACTTGGTATCCAAGCAACTCGCGGAGTTTGACAGCCGAAAAAGCAAATGTTTTTCTGGGCTTGTTGAAAATTGCCAAGAACGCCGAATAAAAAATGTTTTTAATTTTAACGGTAGTTAACGGTTGTTAAATAAATTTGTGAGCGTGAATTAGTGAAAATTGGGAACAAATAGTGTAATTCTTGTGATTTCTGAGTGATATTCTGGAATAGCATAATATGGATCAATAAGGTAGGCTGTTTTTATTGCATGTGATATTTTCAAGATTATTTGTGTTTACAACATGATTTTGGGGTTTCTATATCTGGATTTTCTTTAAGTCAGTTAATTTTTAGCCCGATCATCACTGAATTTGTTGAATCTTTATTTTTAAATATTGTTTTTTGCAAATTTATATCAAAAATATTACTATTTTTCTATTTTAGAAATTATGTGGGTAATAATTTCTACTTTATAGCACTGCCAATATGTACTTATAGTTAAAAACTTATACAGATTGTCCCAATATTGCGTGGACATAGCATTATATTACCGAAATCAAAATAAGTTAATTGAAGATAATTTACTTCTATTCAAACGTTCTCCATTTGTCCGCTAGAGGGCATCAAGTTTTAAAAAAATAAACACATTTTTTAATATATTTTGATTACTGATATTTTGAGATATGGTTTGTCCATGTTTTCTAGACGCTTTAACATTTTACTTTTAGATAGGCTTATAAGTGTTTAAGTGTATAAATCTGCAGACACTTTGTGTCAGGACTTGAATTACAGTGATATTAGTGTGAATGTTTCTTAAAAAGACGCTTACCGTATGATCTAAAAAAAAACAGCGCCAAAGACGCTTCGAAAATGACAATACATATTGACTATTTCCATTTTTACTCAGTGTAAAAATAAATTACAACCTCTTAAGCCCAACTATTCAAATATAAAGAAAAGTACGAGCCAAGTAAACGAATCTATGGCTTGACCTCGTCAAAATTATTATCTATTGTCATTCCACAACCATCTATAACGCCAATTTTTTTTTCGATCATATGGTATTACTTATATGTCATCCTTCTTTCTCTGGTTACTTACCACTGCCATCAAAGCACTCCGTATTTCGTAGGCCCAAATATACCCACAATCGCTTCCAAATCCGTGTATCAACACTTTGGTAGGTAGACTCTTGTTGAAACCACTTTTAGCCCATTCAAATGCCTCCGTTATTTTATCGAACGGGATTTCTGCAGGAGCCGAACCGCTACGTCTTCGTCTGGTCCTAGAAAATGAAGTTAGGTACGGTTGAGATAACGTTAAACGTAATTTTTCTACAGTCCTTGTACTGTTAGACATGTTAAACGGTTCAAATCGGATCATTTTTAAGGCCTATATAGCTTTAGAATCGTGGAAACAGTATAGAGATAGGTAGTGAGTAAACGAAAGATAAAATAAAATGATATAGTGCGTACAGTAATGATTGAACTATGTTATCATATGGAGTGGCCAGAATTAAAAAATTGATCAGGTCCAATTTCCTACTATTTTAAGACAATCGTCTTTATACATTTAGGTCGTCATCTGCTGTAAACCTAAGCCTCTTTATAGGTTCTTTAATATTGGAAGAGGTGGAATCCATATTGTGGGCCATATTTATTTAATTAAAACTAATCCCAGCTACTTAAATATCAAATTAGCTAATAAAACTAAAGTAATAATTCAAAACAATTCAAACATAACTTAAAATAAAAGATCTCGCCGGCCGGTCCCGGTTGTCAAATACCCGCACATGCCCATTTAAGCAATTTTTAAACGTTATTTAGAAATAGCGCTTGGTGTAATTGATCCGCAAATTACGTCAGGCGGTAACGTTATTAGCGGGTATTGCGTTAAAAATTGACTCGCGCATATCGTAACATTGATAAGGTACGCGTAAATACTGCATGACGCTATTCGGTTTTCCGATATCTCTCTAATAACTGTGCTGGTCAGGCGCTGTGCACAATTTTAGAGGCCATAAGTGGGCGTGCTATGTGCGCAAACTAGTAACCTCACTAGTGCCCGATTCCGAAAATTGGAACCACGAAAAACAATAAAGAAAAAACAAAGTTTATAATCTGTATTCTCTACTAACTCCTTACCTGGCGGGATACATTAAAAACTTTGTACTGATCTCTTCAGGCTTGCTTGGTAACATATCTAAGTACCCAAAAGGACCAGAAGCTTCAAAGCAACCCAGCTCCTCGTAGCACACGCTGGGTTCTTCGCGTTTGGTTCTGTTAGAAAGAAAAATACAAAATTTAAACAGTTTTTTGAGTGTAATTTTTAATTGAATGGAATGTAATTCTCTGTAATTTTAAGAATTTATCTATGTTTACTCACCGATTGGTAGCTTTCTTTTGGTCACGTTTTCTCTGCCAGTCGTCCATGGATTTTACTACCGCCCTGTATACTTCTACGTCGTTCAGTTCGTCCAGTGCCTCCAGGGCTGGATCTGCCCATGGTATGGACCTCACTAAAAAAAAATTATTTATTTCATAATGTTTAAAAAAATCACATAACTAATGAAATCATACAGTGTCGTAAAAAATTCAATATAACACACTCTGTATATTCGTATAAATGCTTTACCAGTATATAATAATAATCAAGATTGTGCATATAGATCTCTCTGACTGTAATGTTTTCTTTCTAATGCCTTTATATGGTGCAAATACAAGTAAAAGTAACTATTACTAACGTAATTTATAATATAGTATAGTTTCTACGATCTTTCTCCAACTCTCTGTATTTTTTTCCAGTGATATTTATAGTGTACTTGGAAAGATATCACCAAAGATCTGTTCTTTCACTTCACGGGGACCATGAATCACTTTCCATTATAGCATAGGAAATTTACAAGAATTTTGCTGATGTATAAAAGGAAAATCTAAAGTAAAAATTATAAAACAAAATAAAATATACCAGAAGAAATAGCTTTATTTTGTAATTTTTAGTATTTTGTATATATTTTTATATTGTTTAATATCAAAAATTTCCAAGTGTTCCAATATTCCTTAAATAAGTTAATTGCGCATAGTTTACCTTTATACAAAAGTGCTTCGTTTGTTCGAAAAAACAATCAAAGTTGGTAGGCAGTTCTTTTAGTTTCAAAGTAAAGGAATTTTTACAATTTTTTTTATCTCAAAAACTGCGACTTTGACTCATTTTGATGTTATTACAAATTTTGTTGCAAATATTATATTCCTAATCTTAAACTGACAACCGCGTTTCGCTAGCGACTGTAATTTTGGAGTTACGATTTTTTAAAAATTTTAACCCCCTCCCAAACCCCCTTACCAACCCCCCAACCCCACCAAAAACTAATGGCCAGATTCTCGGGTGCCACAGTACCTTTGTGCAAAATTTGGTTAAAATTGGTTTAGCGGTTTTTGATAAATTGTTGATAACCGAACTAAACTTTTTTTTGCCGGTCTTAATAACCTACCATACCTATTGGTTGCGAGATATTGGTATAGACCATACCTATTGGTATGGTTTATACCAATTAGCATGGTATACTAAAAAGTTCAATTTACGAAAAAAAAATAGGTCGTCGGTAGAATTGGAAATATTTATACTAAAATATTTAAAGGAAATAGTGTTCACCCTTCCCGTACTTTTTCTTGATTTTTGTGAGTGTCAAATATTAAAGCACTTAAAAAAACATAAACATCCAAAAACTATTCAAATCTGAATTGCGGTTCTTAAAATATCTGAAAAAATGTGTTTATTTTTTAAAAGTTGGGCATCAAACTTTTAATAATCTAACGGACAAACAAAGCGCTTTTGTATAGAGATAAATCGTGTCCAAATACGTAGTAATTCTATGTCCACAGAATATTGGGACACCCTGTATTCTACCAAAACACCACGTTCGGGTGCTTCATACTAAGAGCTGGCAAAGGTTAGTCTTGGGTCGAGATTTCCGTATGTAAGAAGAGTACAATGGCGTTTATAATGTACTGAACAAAGAGAGGACAGTAAACACGTTGCCAAACGTATGAAATAAACCGAGAAACTGTGCACATCGCTAAGAGACGTTGAAGGGGATATAGCAGATTTGTCGCAGTTTGTAATGTTCTTATTTGGGTTAGCAACATTGCTTACCGGTCGACCCAATCAATACTTCTGTCAGTACTTAAAGTTCTAGGGAAAGGTGTACGTCATGCGTTCAGCTTCACGATTTAATTACGTCTCGTGATACTTGATTTGTTTATGTATTAACGAGTCGTTGTAATTTTCCCTATAGCTTGAATTTTTTTAAATGCAAGCTAGAAACACTTGCATTTTTGGTAAAAATAAGTGAAATTGAGTGGGTGTTCGATAGTGGTCGCGCTATTGGAACTCTGAATTCAAAAATCGATATCTCGAAATTTATTAAAAATAATAGATTGTAGTTTTTTCAAGAGCTTTGTTAATATTTCTGCTGTATTTTCTTTGTAGACAGTATGTGAAAATCTTTATCAATAAAAAAATTACACGATTGCTGAAAATTGCTATGCTCTAAAAGTAAATGGATGGATTGTTTACAATCCAAGTTTTGAATGGAAAAAACAACCTTATCGAATTTTTCTTATGTAAACTTATTGTAAAATATCCGATCTTGAAAATAAAAAAAGTTTCAATATCTAAAGTGGTTCTTGAGTTATGGCTTGTTATGTGTTAAAAAGTTGAATTTTTAAATTATCGCGATTACTGACGTTTTCTCGTTATAAAAAAAAATGACACCCTAACGATATCCTTATAATTCCATTTCAGATGCTCAGAAACATGTCTAATGATTTTATCTAGTTATCTCATGAAAATAAAGTCTTTTAAAAATAAGCGGTTTGCGACCGTGTTTTTACTTTACTTGATAGGGAAAGGCGTATCGGCAACGCCGCAAAGGCACACAGTCGGTCGCATTTCTCTCACTCCGACTTAATAAGATCCCTATGCCATTTACTTCTACACATGTAAATGCCGACCCAAAAGTAACAGTTGCCAGCACGGTATAACTTTCACATAAGCGTACTCCTAAAAAAGACCTATACCAAGGTGAAATTAAAACATTTTGCGCCATTTTTAGCACTTCGGAAAGTGAAACTGGATCGTATCGGGCAGTCTTTAATAACTTGTGAAAAGTAAAATTGTTTGTTGCGACAAAAGACCGTCGAAAGCAGAGGACAACAAACCTCGGTGTTTTCTAATAAATAAACCAGTTTGTCCAACAAACAGAAGAAAAAATCTGTTAAGGTAATCAATTAACGTGTACAGAAAATTATAATGGATATTTGTGGAGTTAGTCTGTAATGATTTTATATCTAAAACGGTCCATTGACGTGCAAACATATTGCACATACATATTGTACGGTCCTACTAGTAATACTAAAGTGGGATTTATGTCACTTTTGATGTACGTAATCACTCATTCTTGTACATATTTTCATCCAGTTAGCTGTTCATCAAGTTTACATGTATACGAGTGAATCGCTATGGCAATCAAGTAAGTCAGTAAGTATTTATTACATAACTACTTAATCTGATGCTAGATTCCATGCGATTCACAGTGCTTCGAACATATGGCTCTAGAAGACAAAAATGCAAAACTTCTCTTTTATTGTAGGCAATTTATTGAAACTAGGTTTATTTGACACAAATGATGAGTACTCTCATTGTACTAAATGATGATGTTCTTAGTGCCACGTTTATGAAAAAAAATCTTATAAATAATAAAAATGTTGGAGCTGTGTTCCATCTAAGGAAATAATAATTTATAGTATGAAAACGGTGTAAGTATTAAATAAATCTCTGTGATAAAAAAGAATTAAAATAACATTAGAACATGATTCCTACAATATAAGCCTCATATAAGATAAAAATGTTTTTCTTCAATGTAAAAGAAACATTAATGCTATATTTAATTAACAAAAAAAAACTTAAGATAATATAAATTTACTTTAGGACAATAAAATGCATAGATCGTAACTACTCTGATTCAGAAGAATAACTGCTGACAGAATCTTCCAAATTTATAGTATCCAAATCACAGGTAGATGAAATATCCTCACATATAAGATATTTCTGTACATCATTTTCTAATTATGTTACTTTTTGGCGTTGTTACTGTTCTTTTTGTTGGTATGAGGGATTCGGATGTTAATAGTTACCTCTTTAATAGACCATATAAACTGAAAGATGGAAACTTTTTTTATGCGACGTTTCGCTCCAACATAGTGGGCTTTTTCAGGCACAAGTGGTGTCTCATTTGACTGGAAGGTTCATGAATATCTAATAAAGAACACATTTTCTGAAATACAAATAATTTTGAGTTCTTATCCTTATGATCAAGCCAAGTATTAACCAGATCGGCATTGTTTATCAATTTTACTCCATCTGAAAAGTATTATAAAATAAAGTTCGTAGCAAGCAGACGCAGGTGAACTATACAAAAATTAAAAGTGTATGAATATGACAACAAAAATATTCAATAAATACGATATGTTTTGATATGTTTTTTAAATGCCTTTTTGAAGTTTGAAAACGTAAAATTTTTATACCCATTTAAGAATCATCTTAAAAAATAAATAAAAACTAAACAATCACGAACTTGTTTAGAAATAAATTTAAAGTACATACCTTGTTTAACAATATCCATAGTGGTCGTATTATTGTCTTATTGTGGAAAGAGAAAATTATTTGCATGAAATCGATTCCTATTTTCCAATTTTACACCCTTCAAGGGTCATTCGTCTTGAATAAAAACCAATGATAACGCTAAGAAACAAATTGCGTGTCTGTCGCCGAAACAGAAAAGGGACAAGAGCCTTTATAATGACTTTAAACAAGATTTGTGTTTGACGGTGTCAACGAGAGATGAATATAATTACACCCATTTTTGACGCTTAATGAAAAGGGTTAAATACAAATTAGGCAGCTGATTGCGAGCCGAGCTTACGAAAATGACAGGTTTTGAAACGCTAATAAGCTTGAATTGAGGGTTTTTTAGGGTAATTGCCTTATTTTTAGAGGGCGTTGAATGATTAATAGAGATATTAGAAGCAGAGTCAATGAAGTATTAAAAAAACGATGTCATCAAACTTTGATTTTGTTTTGGAAAATAGTATAACAATATTATTTTAGATAAATTTGACAACCTTGCTGATAGAGACCTATGGCGAATATCAAACCAAATTTAATGGTTCATTTTTTCCTATTCCTGGTATTTTTTGATTTATCTGCGGTGTGGTTTTAATTACCTGACTTTAAATTGCTTTTTTTTCAGAAATCACTATACTAAAAGACCATATTTGTCACGGGCCGGTAAATTCTAAAAAATTACACAAATAGATTATCTTTTTAATTATTGTCGCACCTTTATTTAAAAGACGATAGCATTACACCAGACTGCGTTTTTTTTTCTTCTTTTTTTTGAGTGACGTTTTCAAAATTTTAGAAAGTCAGTAACGTCAACATGAAACTAAATAATTAAGC